AGAGAGAGAGAGAGAGATTTGCACATCAAACCTGGAAATGGAAGAGATCACACTCTCTGTAAGTGAAAGTGAATATGCTGTGACGCTCATTTGGGTCCTTATGAAAGAAACAGATGCTGGGTATAGGACAATCCAGGTGAATGGGCAGCGGGCAAGACAGCATAGGGGTATTAATTGATCGATGGGGTAAGGTCCCCTTATCAACCTGGGATGCTGTTCTGATTGTATTGACTACAGTTGTGTGGCTTGTCAAAGTAGGCACAGCATGATGGAGAGGGAAAAAGAAAAAGAAAAAAAGGTTTTTTGTCCTGTATCAATGGTTGGTGTAGAGTTCAGTTTGATTGTTGGCATATGCACGTCATTGATACCTTTCTTTCTTTTTTACATTTTTACATCTTTTCTGTTTGGTGTCAATGTGTATTAAGTAATCAATTGCTCTGCTCTTTCATGGTAGATTTGTGGAGAAACACTCAGGGCAAATCATCAACTTTGGCAAGGTTCAAAAACAAATATCTTGTGATATTACAAATCCAATGCATTATGAAACAGCTGATGGAGACTCAGGGAACTTCAGTCCTTGCCTCCCTGTCTTGCATACAGGAACAAATAATACTGCACAAGATAGTAATAATATCCTTTCTTCCATGGAAGAACAAGAGGGAACCTATGCTGATGAATCTGATGCAATGGAACCAAATGGGAGCACTTCAAATGGCGCAAAGGACCTAGAAGATACAAGCCCAAGTAAAGCCCTACATGTCAAAAACTGTGAGCCGGATGACAAGGGCATCAAACTGCTTTCTAGTTCATTGGCATCAAAGCAAGTTCAGAAAAGACAGGTGCAACAGAAGAAGAAACAGCAGGTGAAAAAGAAGCCAGAAGGGCTTCAGAAACAGAGATTGGTTCTGGGGTCTGCAAACAGGTAGTAGTTTCACAATCAAGAGATTTTATGACATGATGGCTTCTCATGGAGTATTGGCTTTGCTTAACTTTTTAGGAAAGACTGAATGGAGAGGACTATAATACAATTGATAGCATCAAAATATAAAGAGAAAAGGAATTTTATATGTAATCTAAGTTTTTATTTATTTTTTGTTTTTTAATGAGCTCAAACCCTTTTTGTTAAGTTTCTGTAAGTTTTACACATATGGTTTCAAGGTTGTAGCATATCTTATGAACTTATCTTTTTATGCACGCATTAGTTTTCTATAATCCATACGGGAAACAAATTCAGGGGGTAATCTCGCTATGCAAATTATATTAGCTTTTTTATAACCAAAATTTTGTTAAGGACAGCTTGTTATATTTCTATGGTATCTTAAGATAATGAAGATGTCAAATGTTGTGCATTCAGTTCCTTGAGAAGCAAAAACTAATATTCTGGGTTTGGGTTTATCCTCAACATTGCTTTTTGCTTTTTTTTGTAGGCTGAAGATCAAGGAGAGGGTAGTTCTGACAGAGGTTTTCTCGAAGTATGCAGCAAGCATTGTTTCGACTGAGGGGCCACAAGAATCATGATTGGACTTCATTACTCAGGGAAATCTTCAAAGGGCTTTCCCTTTCCAAATAGGGAGTAACCAGCGAATAATTAGAACACTGCTTTATTTTACCAACTGGTATTCTGAGATGGATCAATAGATTATTTGTTGGGATTTCTGTAATGTTTTCTTGAAGAATTAAAGAGTAAATGAAAGTCTATGAAATGTTCAAAATCCTTCATTTGGCTAACAGGAAAGATTGTGCACGATGTCCCTGTTTGGCTGTTTGTAGTCAAATGTTGATTAGCCAGAAAGAGCTCCCAGGAGTCTTAATTAAGTAAAGAAATGTTGCTTGATAATTCTTGCAGTTAACTTGCTAGACATGTTTCACAGATGACTAGATACTGATAACACACCATCAATGTTACAGTAACTTGAGGGGGGAGAAGTGGAGGAGGGAGCCATGCCCTGCCTCTGTCAACTAGTTATCCGTAGCTGAAAGAAATTGAGGGCATTGCGTCAAGGCTTCCAAGGCCTATGCGCCCTTAAAGAATTGTACATTGTGAGTATGGCAGATGACTTTGTTATGCCACTAGAGACTGCAGATGGTGAAGACCGTTCCAAAGTGCAACACATCCCTGAAGTTTGGATCAGTGGGAAACAAATGAACAAATGATTTTTCGCTCTCTAGGAAAGTTCGGACTTAAGAAATAGGCTATGTTTGAGGCCACAATCTCTCTGGTCCATGGCCTAATTCCTGTGTTTTGATATCAGCTCGATGTTTTATTCTAACTAGGATACTTACTTTTTTTCTTTTATTTCTTTTACTTTTGTTGACTTAGTTGGGATTCTGCTAGTTCACCATGCAGTGTAGTCATAAGAGCAACAAATATTTATTGAGGAATTTATTTCTAGATCAGAAAACATTTGTGGTATTACCAGTTCAATTTTTTGCCAAATTTTATGTCATTTTCTCGTGATAAATTTATTTCAGCTTTACCCCTTATCCGATGTTAGCAACATCAAACCATCCATATTTTTTCGTTTATTCAATTTTCATAATCTCTGCTGCAAGTAACTACTAAAATTGAACCACCGCATCTATGGAGCGGTTCTACTAGCAATATCGAACAGCTCAATACTTGTTTTTTTTTACATATGGAGTGTCTCTACATTAGCAATATCAAACTACGCCATTGAATTTTTTTTCTAAATATGGAGCAGTTCTACAATAGCAATATCACATAAATTCATACTTAAAAGAAGTTTCCAAGTATGGAATGGTTGATATGCAATATATACTAGAAACTTTCTAAAGTACAGAGCGGTTAACTGTTTAAAATTGGCCAATATTTAGATTGTGGCTGAATAGATCCTATTTTTAGATTGTGGTTTTAAGGTGAAAACTTTTTTTTTTTTTTTGAGGATAATCATCTATTAATTTTTAAGTGATTAGCAAGTTTTCATATTGAAAAAAATCCTTCCAACTAAGCCTTGAATCTTTCCAACTAGGTCTTCTGAAGGAGGGAGTAAAGTAGAGTATCTATTTTGACTTAGTATTTTACTTTGTGTTCACATTTATTATGACAAGAAAAAAATTGTTTTGATGGCAATGTTTAGCTAATTGGCACTAAATTGGTAGGATTATTAATGGTATCATATAAGGCAAACTTATCCTTATGCCATCCACTTTTAACATAAATAGCTGGAATTTCATATTGAAATATAAAAGGTATTTATGTAGACTGCTGAGCAAATCTATTTTTACTCCATTTACCACAGAACGCGGTCACCATGCGGCCTGCCTGCATATTGTAGAAATGCGGGCTTGGCAATAAATATATTTTTTGAATATAATTTGATCCTAATTTTTGGATTATATATAATCATTAATATGGAGATCATGAATATGAACAATAAATAAATTTTGAAAACTAGAAATAATAATTATATCAAGAAAGTATTTGAACCATTTGTTATAATTGTTTTTAGATGGACCACCAATTTACATCCATCTTTAAGATGGATGTTTTATACGTCCGGACCATATATTGTAGAAATGTGGTCCAGCCCGCATGAAATTATTGTTTTTTACTAAAGGACTAAGGTTTTGGTCAGTCGACCGATCACCAAAACATGTGCATCTCCTCGTGCATCAGGCGTCTGTCTTAGAGATGGGCGTTTAACAATGGTGCTTCTACTATACCTCAAAATGGATTGTAGAAAAATATATTAAAAATATTCTTTTTATTTTTGAAAACAAAAAATTTTATATTCATAATCACTATAGATTACCAAATCCCAAAATTTTGGATCCAAAATCCATCTTAAAAATGAGTTCAAAGGGGGCCGCACAACTACAGGTGAATCGGCTAACTCACCAAATTGTTTTCCTTCAACAAATATTCCCATCAATTCTAAATAAGTTTACCGTTAGCAATCTTAACGTAATTACTTTACTAATCTTTGCTATTGAAAAAAGGGAAAATTATATATATACCTAACCTTGACCCCCCCCCCTCCTTGCCTC